CGGCGCAAGATGGCCCAGGAGAACCCCAAGATGCACAACTCGGAGATCAGCAAGCGCCTGGGCGCCGAGTGGAAACTTTTGTCGGAGACGGAGAAGCGGCCGTTCATCGACGAGGCCAAGCGGCTGCGGGCGCTGCACATGAAGGAGCACCCGGATTATAAATACCGGCCCCGGCGGAAAACCAAGACGCTCATGAAGAAGGATAAGTACACGCTGCCCGGCGGGCTGCTGGCGCCGGGCGGCAACAGCATGGCGAGCGGAGTCGGGGTGGGCGCCGGCCTGGGCGCGGGCGTGAACCAGCGCATGGACAGCTACGCGCACATGAACGGCTGGAGCAACGGCAGCTACAGCATGATGCAGGACCAGCTGGGCTACCCGCAGCACCCGGGCCTCAACGCGCACGGGGCGGCCCAGATGCAGCCCATGCACCGCTACGACGTGAGCGCCCTGCAGTACAACTCCATGACCAGCTCGCAGACCTACATGAACGGCTCGCCCACCTACAGCATGTCCTACTCGCAGCAGGGGACCCCCGGCATGGCTCTGGGCTCCATGGGGTCCGTGGTCAAGTCCGAGGCCAGCTCCAGCCCCCCCGTGGTGACCTCTTCCTCCCATTCCAGGGCGCCCTGCCAGGCCGGGGACCTCCGGGACATGATCAGCATGTACCTTCCCGGCGCCGAGGTGCCGGAGCCCGCCGCCCCCAGCAGACTTCACATGTCCCAACACTACCAGAGCGGCCCGGTCCCCGGCACGGCCATCAACGGCACACTGCCCCTGTCGCACATGTGAGGGCCGGCCTGCGAACTGGAGGGGACAGACATTTTCCCAGAAAGAAAAGAGATTTTTTAAAAACCCCAGGGCAATGGGAGGGGGCGCGAAAGAGGAGAGAGTCAGGGGCGGCACGGAGAAGAAAGCCGCTATAAGCTCCACCACCACCAAAATCCGGTCACCATAGCAAATGACAGCCGCGAGAGAGACCACCAATCCCAGCCACACTCACGCAAAACCCGCGATGCCGGCCAGCAAACTTTTAGGAGAGATCGTGGACTGCTTTTTCGGGGACTATTTTTGTACAGAGAAAACCGGGGTGGGTGGGGAGGGTGCGGAGATGGACCTTGTATAGATCTGGAGGAAAGAAAGCTACGCAAAACTTTTTAAAAGTTCTAGTGGTACGGGAGGAGCTTTGCAGAAGAAAGTTTGCAAAAGTCTTTACCAATAATATTTAGAGCTAGTCTCCAAGCGACGAAAAAAATGTTTTAATATTTGCAAGCAACTTTTGTACAGTATTTATCGAGATAAACATGGCAATCAAAATGTCCATTGTTTATAAGCTGAGAATTTGCCAATATTTTTCAAGGAGAGGCTTCTTGCTGATTTTTGATTCTGCAGCTGAAACTTAGGACCGTTGCAAATGTGGAAAGAAGAAAATTACTGAGATTTGGACATTTTAATGGTATTTTAAATTGTACAAAAGGATAAGAAATTGGAATAAGTACTGGCAAAACCATCTCCCGTGATCTTTCAAGGGCAAAAGTTTTAGATTGTACTAAATTTTTTTTAACTTACTGTTAAAAGCAAAATGGCCATGCAGGTTGACATCGTTGGTAATTTATAATAGCTTTTATTTCCCAACTTTCCATTTTGTTCAGATAAAAAGAAACATGAAATTACTGTGTTTGAGATATTTTCTTATGGTTTGTAATATTTCTGTAAATTTATTGTGATATTTTAAGGTTCCTCCCACCCCTTTTATTTTCCGTAGTTGTATTTTAAAGATTCGGCTCTGTATTATTTGAATCAGTCTGCCGAGAATCCATGTATATATTTGAACTAATACCATCCTTATAACAGGTACATTTTCAACTTAAGTTTTTACTCCATTATGCACAGTTTGAGATAAATAAATTTTTGAAATATGGACACTGAAATTATGCTTGAGTCTTTCATTTTCTTGGATAACACTGTGGTTAGACATAACTCCTGGGGGAATTCTAATACTGTGCTCAGTCAAGAAAGCCAAATACCGAAAAGCCTTGGTCTTTCTAGCATGTGCTGATGTTAATTGCAACAAATAAATGGCTGGATGATTAATTGAATACGTACTCTAGAAAAATGGAAATGCGTATGTCCTCTCGAAGATAGAAACTAGAGCCATATATTGTAAATCCACCCCCTCCTCTACGCAGCATGAATAAGCATGATGGGGACTTGTACTTAAACTGATTTATGCCACTTGTTGCCAGAAAGGAGTCCGTTCTGAAATTTTTCATGTAGCTTAGCAGATGGGGTATTGAGCCAAATCAGAACCAGGCTGGCTGGTTTTGTTTTCGTTTTCTTCACAGCACAATGGCCCTTTGGAAACCTGGGTATAAGGGAAAAGGATGCTTCTTGTATCAGAATAATTGCAAACTAGACATGCAAAGTGCTTGTCTGCTGGGTGGGGGTTTGGATGACTCCGGCCCTGCTATTGTCAGCGAGGAACCGAGTGGTTGGCGTTCTTTGTTCTTTGACTTCATAAACTTTCTCTTACGATTTTTTCAGTTTAGTGGCCAGGGAAAGGCAAAGAGCGTCTTGCGAAGCGCCCCGACTTCTCGCGGCAATTTTTTTTGTATTATTTATTTTCTTTTTCTCCTGTCTCCCTCCCTCCCTGCATTTTATTTCTTAAATTGGCAGCGCGGGTCCAAGCCTGTAGCCCCAAATCGGATAATCTCTGCAGCTGATAACGAGCAAAAGAGAAGCCAGGCAACAGCCATATTAAAGAAGAAAGCAATCGACTCTGAGGTAGATATTTTACTTTGTCCGGTCTAATCACATGTGGAGATGATCATGCTTTTGATCTGTTAACAGCGTTGTACTACCGTAGTAGAAAAGGGGGAGGGAGTGGGTCGGGGGTGGAGGGTGCGGAGAAAGCACGCTTGGATTTGTTGTTTTCTTTCGCCCCAGGAAAGGACTTAGTTGTCCGCAGTGGGAACGGAAAAGTTGGGGACTCGCCACGGTGGTTCATTTGGCCCCGCTTCTGCATCCCGCCAGTGCGGCTGCGGCTGCAGCCGGAGAAATTGTCAGGCCCAGGCTGGATCTTTTCTTCCCATTTACTCTTGGCCTCCTTTCATCCACTCCACCAAAGGGGGGCCGGAACGCAGGTCAGGTCTTTTTAACGGGGAGCTTTTGCCTCCCACCCTTTCCAGAGCTTGTTGTGTCAACGTGCTACAACTTGGGAGCGGCTGGGATCCGGCTGCGCCGTCCACCTTTGAGGCAGGTCGCCGCGGCAGTCTCTCAGTTCGTTTCCATCATCTCGCCTCCAAGAAAGTATTGCTCTGGGCCACCCCGGTGGAGCTACGGCTGGGTCTGCACGGAGCCGTGCGGGCCTCTCGCTTTTCTGGAGTCTATAGGCAAGGTCTAGGGCCAGGGCCAGACGGGCATGCTTTCCGTAGTTTTGTTTGAATGTTTTATTTCAGGTAGTATCTCGTTGGTTTGTAGGTATTTCCCCCTTCTCTGTTTTTTTGGGGGGTTTTTTTTTCACCGTCTCAGTTTTAGGGTAAGAGTGTACTGGGAAAGGACAATTATTCTAGTTCCCAATTCTAAGCAAGGCATTTCCCCCCCTAATTAATGCAGAAACTCTGAAAGAATTTCCCCTGGCCTGGCCAGCCATTGTAATGCATATACGGATTATTCACGTGGTAATGAGCACATTCGACAGTTCTTGCTCACACATACGAATAAAAGAAACTTTGAATAAAGATCCAAATGATCTTGCTGGGGGGTGGAGGGCATATTCCCCGGAATTAGAACCAATCAACTATATAGTGTATAGATTTGAAGAATAGATATTAGAAATATGTATAGAACTTTATAGAGTAATTGCAGTAGACTATATACCCTGCGCTTAAAAAAAACCGAGAGAGAGCCCATAAGGTCAGACTAACTAAAAAGCCACTTTGGGGGAGAAAATGCTCAGGTTCAATTTTTTTTTTCAAGCAATATTTTAGAGAGTTGAACTAGTTGGGAATGTTTGTCACTGCACAAAACTCCTATTGTCATACCAAAAGGGAAAAAGAAAAACAAACCAAAAAAACTTTCCCCTTGATTCTCCCTCCTACAAATCAAATATTTTTCTAAAAAAGTAGAAGTCAATAGTGTATTTGCAAATATAAATATTTTTTGATAAATTGATTTTTTAAGGGAAATGATACCTATTATCTCATGACACCATTAATTTTATTGGGTTAAATGCACCCCAAAGGTATGCAATTGTATGACTAGATTAATACTAGGCAACTCATATTTCAGGGAGAATGTGATTTTCCAGAAGGGAGGTGGAGGCAAACCGGTAAACTTGCTCAGCCACCTCGAGTTCTTGCCCCTTTTCTCAGGGTAGACTTCTGCTTATTAAAAACCACACTCAATTTCCAGTCAGAGGGGGTACATTTAAATCTTTCATTAACATTACATACAGCATGGCAATGTGCAGAAGGATGCGATTAAAGTTTGTTCCTCATGCAATATTTCCTTTCGCTTCCCCTCACCCCCCTCCTCCGTACTTTAAATAAAGAGGGTTCAAATATTTTGCTGAGCTGTGGGAGTAGATTATAGCAACGTTTCTTGCCAATGCTGGGAAGCTGGTATGATTACAAATGGTCCCAGGGGAAAGTGGCTCACATTAACCACTAAATGAATATTTGACAAGGACTCATTCCACGGTATTATTACTATAAACGTGTCCCTACTGGACTTTTCAAGGGTCAAAGAGCAACGCTTCAATTAATTATTTAGACTGCTAGTAGATTTGGTTGTAATAGCTGTAGTTATTCCTAGAACCGATACATTCTTACAGTAGGAAATCTCAGGAGAATCTTCTCCATCTGTAATGCCTTGGATTGAAATACACAAAGAGTCCTGGCATTCTAAAGCTGATTTTTATTTTCGCCCTTAAAACCTTTTCCCGGGCTGGGGGAAATTATAGTCTCTCTTGCTATTTCATTGATGGGTTTTGGTTTGAAGAGGGGGTGGGGGGACATAATTTATCTTAATTTCCACATCATGTCTGCAAAGGTCTTTAGGGGCCTTTCAATTTGAGGTGAGAAGGGAGGGTATTTATGTGTAATCTTTGCCTTTGCTAAGTGGAGATGTCACTGGATTTCAGAGACTCTGAATGTAGACAGGATACATGATCCTGTTTGCCAGGAAAAAGCCAGGTTTGAAAGCCGAAGACTGATAGGCTGAGCACTCTGGGAGTTCGAGGAGTCTCAGTAAACTGGGGTGCAAAGTAGTCGTCTCTCCTCCTCAACCTAGTGGTGCAGTGGGGTGGGGGTGGGGGTGCGTTTTCCATTTCTGCCACGTCATAAGTTCCTCTGTGGCACTAGTAAGGTAGGGATTTGGAGAGTAAGACTTGCTCGCTGACAATGTAAGTTGAATGAAGAAGAGATCAGCTGCCAGGGAGGGAAGGGAGGGAGTGCGGGAAGCAGTAATTACAAACCCAATTCATTCAGCTTTTCAGAACTTTTGTTGTGGGAGCTGCCAGTTTCTCACATTAAAAAGAAGTGCTCAGTGCCTCCGGGGGACTAGAACTGCCCCTTAACTGCATCGTGATGGGGGTCTTCATTTAGAGCCATTACAAGAAGAAAATTAAACAGTGCCTTTCCATGACCACGGTTTACTTTTCAATTGCTAACAGTTTCTAGCTAACTGCTCTGAGATGGAAGTTTGAGGTTTGATGGCCTGCTAGTTGGCACCACTTATTTATCCGTTGTAATGAAGAGAGCTTTCAATACCACCACCCTTTTTTTTTCCTTTGCCTTGCTCCTTTTCCTAGAGAATTTCGCAGAACAGATCCTCACATTTTGCTTTCTGGAAGACCTTTCCTGTGTCCTAAGCCAGCTTTCGCTGAGACTTTGAGTTCCCATTCCCCAACACCTCCTCCCACCCTTACCCATTGCTGTAAATAATTTGCATCTCACTCGACTTCCTTGCGTTCAGAGTGAGGTTACCAGCAGAATCTGGGGTTGGAGATAGGAGACACTTAATTCCCCACCCCCTTTGCTTTGCTCCTTCCCTGCTGCCCCTCCAGTGAGTTGGAAGTGGGCTGGGTGGATTTCTCCAGGGACAGCGTCTACAAGGTGGTTCTTCCCTGAAAGACGGGGGTGAGAAAGGAGAGGAGGAAGGGAAACGCTTGACCTTTACCGTGGAGAAAGTCCAAAGGGACATCGCCTCTAAAGTTGTAGATTAAGAAGCAGTGGAAGGCGCTTCCCAAAGGCCGAGGAACTGCCAAACCCCGAGAAGTGGCTCATAAATAATTTTTAAATAAAAACTTCCCTAGAAACTTGATGTCTGACCCCTTTATCCAACCTCCCTCTCCCCCCTGTGCTCAATGCTGTCTAGTTTGACAGACCTCGTTTTCCATTTGTATGTTTGGCTTCTGTGGCATTTAGGAAAATAACTTGCCTTTTTTTTTTTTTTTTTGGCTGAGGCTTTCTTCTGGAAGGGTTGGGTGTGAAGAAGAGGCTAAAGTTTCTGGAGGAGGCAGAGTGCTCTCTTTCTGTAAGAAAGTTCAGATGGATTTTATTTTATAATTTGGTGTAAATGGTGATCCTTCTAATGATCACCATTGAGTGCTGGGCTCCGTCTTGTCTCTTCCCAAGCAAACGGAACGTCCTGTCACTTCAGGACTCAAAAGATAGTTACTGCTTCTAAGCCTGTGAATGTGCGATGATTATTCTATATGACAAAGAAGTGTCTGGTGGATTTAAAGCCCCAAGGAGTCACTGGTTGCTTACCTTAGTCTGCCTGCGTGCTCAAAAGGACACGCGTGGGCGCACTGGGTTTTAGAGAGACTCTGGCGCTCTGGACCAGCAGTGGCCTCCCTCTGCAGATTGGGGCGCAGGGGCGGGCTGTGGGCGCGCGGCTCGGGTACCTCTGGGGGATGTGCCCGCAG